GCTTTAAAGTATCAATAGGGTGTGGGCCTTTAATGTGTAGAAACTAATGGGTCTTCTATTTTAATGATGGGCTAAAATAGAGATGCCCAATGTAACTTAATGTACATAAAGGGTTATGGTCCTTAGGTCATACGCATCGACAGATTACTCTTCTGCATCCCATTGACAGAGAGGTTACAGAGAAAAGCTAAAGGGTTCTCTGAAAGGTACACAAACGTATAAACCTAGAAGGCCAAACCCCCAAATCAATCATCTATGGATTCAGGTACGCTTCCACTATTCAGTCTCGATTTTCAATTATTCGATATGAAAGCTCCTGGATTAAAGCGATGTATTTCGCCTAAAGTTAGTTCCAACAAGTGGTATCAGAGCCTCTTCATATTGAATTTTCGGGAATCAATTTATTTTGATTCGTATGGATTCAGTTATGCCGGATTGATTTCGGATATGTATGTTTCGGATTTGTGTTTATGGAGTTTATCTGAATATGTTAGTTCGGATTCAGCATTCCGAATTAATAAATAATTGATACATGAGTATGGATTCAGAACCATTTTGGATAATTGTGTGTATATGTAATAAGTTTTGATTTATTTTATGTTCGGTCATATGCGGAATCATTAAGTATTTATTTTGCAATATGAATTCATGTTGTGCTGACAATTTATATAGATTCAGATTCATTTGGAATATTATTGCTATTCAGATTCATTTATTTGTTTGCCATCTATGTATAATAAGACATCAGTTTTGATTAATCAAGGCTTAGTTGATATGTTAATAATTATGTGAATTGCATATTGCTAAAGATGGGTTCTGTTTATCCTGGGATATAAATTTCAGTGGTATTGATTCAATTGATTGATCAAAGCATGACCTGAAATTGTTTTATGTGAATTAAAAATTAAGCCCTTAAATATATTTTTCGGTCTTAGAATTTTAAAATGTTGGATTCGAATATTAGTATAAAGTTTTATATATTTTGAGATAAATTAATTGAAGCAACATGTCGCCAAAGCGACCTCTTTTGTGGAAATTAATTTGTTTTGAAATATAAAAGGATAAGGGTGCATGTAATTTGAGTGAGTATTAACCGGCCCAAAAGAAGGAGAGTACTCATTAGAATTACTTGTGCTATTGTAGTAATAAACGTGTGATGATTATTTGGTTATACATGTGAACAATAAGTCGGCCAAAAGGAAGATTTATTGTTTGATATGTTCTTATTGTCAATGTTTGATTACTGCATCAAGATGTCAATTACAAGTTAATATTTTGTCCAAAGATAAAATATTAATGGAGTTGCGATGTCTTGAGATGGGGTTACCTTTATTTGAATTTATAATTTTAATTCTAAGTATTTTTCGTGAGCATGATAAGTTTATTTTTCTTTGGATTCAACTATGTCTACTTCTGCTAATATCACTGCCAGCATCAACTCCATTCCTATGCTAAATGGCTCAAACTTTAAGGCATGGCAAGAGAATCTTTTAATAGTTCTTGGTATCATGGATATCGACCTTGCGATAAGGACCGATTCTACACCTCCTCTTACCGATAACAATACTTCAGATGAAAAGAGGGACTTTGAAAGGTGGGAGAAATCGAATCGCATGTGTATGATGATCATAAAGAAAGCCATTCCAGAAGCATTTAGGGGCACTATGTCTGAAAATATCATTACTGCTATGGAATTCCTTGCAGATATTGAGAAAATGTTTGTCAAGAATGAAAAGGCTGAAATTGGTACGCTTTTGGCATATCTTATCTCAATGAGGTATGGCGGTAAAGGTAATATTAGAGAATACATTATGGAGATGTCTCATACTGCTTCAAAATTAAGAGCACTTAAGCTTGAACTCTCTGATGGATTGCTAGTGCATTTGGTTTTGTTATCTCTTCCGGGACTATTTAACCAGTTTAAGGTGAGCTATAACTGTCAGAAGGAGACTTGGTCTCAGGTTGAGCTCATCTCATACTGTGTCCAAGAAGAGGAAAGGTTGAAGTAAGATAAGGCAGAAAGCTCTAATATTGCCTATACTTCCAAAAATAAGGACAAGGGAATAAAGAGGAATAAGGATAAGGAAGCTGCAAATACAGTCCCACAAAAGAAACAACAAGTGGCACCTAGTGTGTCTAATGGTGTCAATGATGACACCACTTCAGGTTGTTTCTTTTGTAAGGCTGAAGGGCATACAAAGAAGCAGTGTGCCAACTACCACGCTTGGCGTGCTAAGAAAGGTATGCTGTTTAATTTGGTTTGTTCTGAGGTTAATTTAACTTCGATTCCTGGACACACGTGGTGGATAGATTCTGGC